CGGAAGAATTTTTTTTAATTATTCCATTTTTAAAATTATTTGACGTTTTTATTATTTTTAAATTTCAACATCTAATTTCATCAGATGTAAAGTTTCGAAATTTTCGTAGATTATGAAACAAAATTTTAATCTTCTTTTAAAACAAAAGTTCTAAAAAATATGAATTAAACGATTTTCTACTTAAAAAAAAAAAAAAAAAAAAAAAAAAAAAGTGTTTTAGACTGAAGTAGACGGGAGAAAAAAGCGTTTCAAGTTGAAAACTGCTTTTGAGTTTGCCATCTTGGCACATTTAATGACGTAGTTTGCCATCTTGGCGCACCTAATGGCAAATCGGCGATATTCGTTTTTTTCATTTTTAAATTCAAATGATGTAATCTTTTTTTTATTACATTTAGTGTCTGAAGAATTAGTGTCTAAGAATTATGACAACGTGTTTCCAAGAGCATCAGCAACGCGTTCTAACAGCTTATATTCATGCAGCTAACGTATTCATGTACTATCATCCAGGTCCCTGCTCGTTCATGAGACTTCACAGAGAAGCAAATACATTCCCGAGGCAGGCCTCCTGGGACTCGAGAGCTGCCGGTTCAAGATAGTGGAGGGCGTGGGACATATACCTGCTTAACTTTGTTAGACATCAGATGTCCCCGTCCTCCGTCACCTGTCACCTGTCTGAAAAATTAGTTACATTAGTTCCTGAAATTTAATATTCAAAAAGATTTCTTTATTTCCTGAATGGCATTCAGATATTTTTCTTTACAATTTTCTTATAATTTATTGCTTAAGTTTTAACAATGACTGTAAATTTCATCATTGATGGCATGTAACTAAGACTGAAAAACAGAAAATAAAATATGATTTATAAAAATGGTTCTCATGCAGTAAGCCCTGAAAGAAGAAAAATAATTTATCGTATAGTTTAATGGGAATAACAGATTAACAGATTAAATAATTATATTTACAAAATTCATCTACAATTTTATACCGCGAATAATAAAAGCAATAACGAAATCTAATATTAATTTAATTCCATTGTCAAATGTGGGAGGTATTATCTTTTTATACTTATCATGGGCCCGTTTATTTAAAGTGGTTTCGTTCTTTTTGTCTTCATTGCAATTATTATTCTCAGTCGCGTATTGAGCGATGATCAATGCAATGGATTCAGCGATGGGAATCATCAATCCTTTTTGTGAGAATGATAAGCGGAACCGGGACAAGGATGAGACAATTGCTACATTTGCAAGTGATGCATTTGCCTAAGGTGAATGGTTAGGAAAAGGGCCAAATTATCTACGAAGTTTTAGAAATATGCTTAATAAATTATAATAGATTTATTAAACTATTAGAAATGAAAGATACAGATATTTATTATTCATGATATTTTGCAGATGAATTCTCTAAATATAATGATTTAATCTATTATTCCCATTAAACTATATAATAAACTATTTTCCTCCTTTCGGTACATTAATTATCATATCCATTTTAAATAAAAGCTTATTTTATAAAAGCCTTTTTTTTTTATTTTGTTTTCTGTTTTTTAGTTTAAATTACGTGTTGTCCATCAGGAATTTTATGATCATTATTAAAATACAAGTATTAAATCATAATAAAGTAATGAGATAAAAAAATAACTGAACGTCATTTAGAGAATGAAGAAATCGCTTTGAATATTCAGTTTCGGGAATTGGGAGTAATAACCGTGTTGTTACCTTGAATTGTTATCGACAAGCAATGTGCATAGAAAATTTGAATTTGATAGCTTATCAGAAATCCGAAGTTAAAAATCGTCCGTAATCCGAAGTTAAAAATCGATGACAAATTCCACTCACAGTGAAACACCATGTGTGAGCTAAATAAAAGTTTGTAAAAAATACCTAGGCACACCTTATTTTTACTTCTGCAACAGTGTCACAGGTATTTGTTGATATTTAATCTCCCATGTATTAGTACAATGAGACAGGTTCCCTACCCTATTAGCTTTCAGATATCTTAATGTCAGTTGTGAGGTATTTTTTTCGCCTTATTAGCATGCCTTCGTAGTGTAATGGTGAGCATGCCCGACGCGTATTCGAGAGGTCTGTAGCTCGATTCCCGGCGAGCACGTTGCTCATTTATCATCTCTCCTGCTTTAAAAAAAAAGAAAGAAAAGAAAAGAAAAAACTTAATAAAAAAAATACCGAATGTCTCTACAATGGCTCCCGTACTAAAAGGGTGGTGGATGATGATTCTCCACCCCCAGGATTTGGCGACCGGGTCCCCTAATCTCCAGTCCGCCCTTTTAAAAGGGGGACTATATAAGGTATTTCTCCCGCCTTCTTAGCATGCCTCGTAGTGTAGTGGTCAGCACGCTCGGCGCGTATTCTAGAGGCTCGTGGTTCGAGTCCCGGCGAAGGCATTGCTCACTTTTCATCTTTCCTGCTTCGAAATAACCTAATGTCTCTACACAGCTTCAGGAACTGCCAGCTGGATCTATTGTTCTGGACATACTGATACCGTAAGAGTCATATGGTCTTCATTGACTAGAGGGACCGGGTCGTCCTCCAATCCAACCGTAAAAGTGAGGAAATTTTAAAGAAGGAAAATCTATAAGCCCATTTTCGGTTATCGACAGTAATGTATCTTAGAAGCCTTTCCAATTTTTAAATAAATAAAGCACAAATAGCATAATTTTATTTACAATACAAATTGCTTTACATAGGCAGGAGCATAGGCGACTGGCGAGCTAATCACATATAGTTAGAAGTTTTTGTAAGTGGCACTAAATTGCTGCAGCAATACTGCTATTGACCCTTTTGGCTCCATCTTCTCCTGGCGTCTCAGAACATGAATGGTATTGTAGGCACTAAATTGCTGCAGCAATACTGCTATTGACCCCTCTGGCTCCACCTCCTCCTGGCGTCTCAGAACATGAATGGTATCGTAGGCACTATTTAACACGTCGAATGCCGCCTCCTCCTGTATTAAGATGACGGCAAAAATTCTGATTAGGACGCGTCATCCGTATTCGGGTTACGCCTGCTTTTGTACTTGCGAGGTAAAGTACGTAGGTATATGAAAAGCTGATTGTTGAATACTGAAAGAAAGAAACGAAAAGGATTTTTGCTGACAGCTAAATTCATCCCATTCACTAAACTGAATTGTGTTGTGTTTGCCATCAACTTTTCTTTCTTTCTAAACAACCAATTCTTATAAAATGTGACTAGTAGCATCTACGCCACATATGTATTATCCCAGCATTTAGCAGTATCCGAATCCGAATGTGAGGATATAATTCTATTAATAATTAATTTTCTCAAAAATCTCGGCTGTTCCTCATAGCTACTATTCGAATTTTTATTATTCGTAACAGGTTTCTTCTTCACCGCTATGTCATTCATTTAAAAATAACTCTTCCATTTTTCCTTTACACACTGCAAAACACTAGGGCAACAATTTTAGCACATACACACACACACACACCACAAAAAAAAAAAAAAAAAAAAAAAAAAAAACTGTGTTAACCATTCCCCACGGCAGAGAAAATATTTGGAAAAGAAAAAATAATTTTCGAATCTTACACGCTTTCTTAGATACTTCGTTCTTGAAGAAAGATTTCAACTGAATGAAATTCTAGAAATGTTTCATTCTAGCTTTTCTAAACTCTTACTACCAGAAGCAACTGGGCATGGCGTAGCAGCTTTCGTAGACGGATGGAGATTTTCTTACAAACTAGCATCGCAGTCAACGTGTTAATTATAATTTTTACTTACTCTCTTGAAGTCACTTTTACATAAGCGTTGAGGGTAATTAAGAAATGAGGTGCATAAAGCCCGCCTTCTTTTTTACAGGCAAATCTAACAGCATGATAGACGGGTGATATTCTTTACACTATGTATAGGAGAAATAATTATTTGCCAGATACTTTTGACCTTTTTTTTTTTTTGGCCTAGTTTGTCTTTTCGCGCCGATATATGGATTGAAGTACATCACCGATACAGTGACATAAGAGATGATCCTGAATATCATACTTGGACATGAATATTTTTGTTTGCAGTGCATATATATTTTTTTTTTCAGAACTGTAACACTATATTAATATATTTGTTATCCAGAATAGCTGATTTGTCTATTTAAAAGTTCTTGGGGTATCAAGGTAAAAATCTCCAATGATTCCTTGACTCTTAAGGGCCGTTCCCACTGAGATTTACCTGAGCTAACGGAGACGACTGCTGTAGCCGACCCATCTGCAAAAACAGTTTTTCCCCAAACGGCAGCAAATTGAAAAATCTGAACTGCAGGCATAGCGGAGCTAGTCTATATTAACTGATTCCGTTAAGATGAGATACACCCAGTGGGAGCGGCCCTTTAGAATAGCAAGTTGCTGTGACTTATCTCACTTGTCTGACTTCTTTCACATGTCTCGCTATCTTGACCTATCTCACTTGTCAAGGACAGCAAGCCTGCGTCTATAGTTAGCATGGGCCTTATGTACTTTATAGGTGACAATACGATTTGCTCAAGTACGATAGTGCCCATGTCTGTCCCAGTTTTGATCGACAATCGGCTAGGGGACTGATTTCAGATTTCACGGTCTCTTCCCCTTTCCCTACCATCAAATTATTCGAGAGGATTTTCGGTTTCCCGTACATTTGAAATGCTCCCATGTAGCAAAGACTTTATGTACTTAAAATCATTCAAGTCTTTCCATGATTCGAACCCGAATCCATACGACAGCCAGCGTCACTAACTGATGTACCGACCAGGGCGGTAGATTGTAAAGCTGAGATCATATTCTGTGGTAAAATATTGACTTCACCTTTTCTTACAAAGTAACTTTAAAAAAGAGACCTGAGATATTATGCAAAAGTAATCGAGAATATAGAGAATCTTTAGAGAATTTCTCGACTGAAGGACCGAAAATGTTTTGTATCAATTATCGAAAAACAACCTAGAAAATATTCTAAACTTTCTGGTGCATGTAATTTACAGCTACAGATAAATATCACTGTAATTACCTTTACTTACCCGTACATATTCTGGAATATTAACATCCAGATCATAAGTCCTCCAATGGGGCACTTGATTCCGAACAGTTAATATTTTCTGAAATCCCGAATCCGTCTGTTCTTCCACGCGGAATGTTATTGGGCCTTCTCCAGAAATAAACAGATCCAAAGATAAACATCCTGATGCCTGGCGGTGTAGCTCAAAATATGGGCTGATCATTCTCCCAATTTGACCCTTCTTACCAGTGGTATCTATTGCCATTACAATTCCTGAAAATCAGAAAATAAGACATTTTTGAAGATTTTTTTTCGAAGAAAAGTAATGTATAACTCTTTCCCTCGAACACATTTGTCATCGCAGAAACTTTTAAAATGTAGGGATTAAAGAACTGATAAATGAAAGTTTTTTTTTGTAGCAGAAATTTGCAGCAAAGAGCGGGTGTTTGAAAGAAAAAAAAATTATGTGTTAATAACAGCAAGAAAAGAATTAAAAAAGTGTCAAGTACTTCTCAGACTAAATTTTAAAATAATATAAATTTTTTATCTTTTGAATTTAAAAATTAAAATTTGTTAAAATGCAGTTTCATTTTTATTTTGCAATTTCCTGTTTCTGCATATTTGTTGAAACAATGCGTACTTTTACAAATAATTGTAGCGAATCAAAACAAAACAAAAAAATTCCCATCCGAGTCCCTTTTGGAAATACGTCATCATTTCTAACGCAATCTAAATTTTTAAAGCTGCTTTTATAAATAAACGAAAACAAAATCCATACTCTTAGCTATGCAATACTTTTCTGCGCGAACTATAATTTTAAGACATCATTAAATTCGAAAACGTATTGGAGAACTATTTTAGCTTCAATTTATTTTTATTATTTTAATACAAATTTTAACTTCAATTTACATATTTCCGAGATGTACCAATAGAAGGCAGACTCCTACCGTCTTCTAAAAATGTTACCCATGAATATTATTTTGCCATGAATATTATTAGCTATGAATTTATAAAATAGCTTTGTTTAATTTTATCTTTTTTTTTAAGTTAAAAATGTCCAGTTTGGAGAACATTTTCATATTAGAAGTCCTTACTAATTTCGCTGTACCTAAAAAAAATGCTAAATAAAGGCATTTTCTAACCTACGTTACTTTTTAAAAATTACACTATTACGTGCTAACTAAAAAATTAGAAAAAATTTAAATGAAAATTTTATTGAACTCAGTGCTAATTAAATACGTAAATTTCATCAACTGTTACCCTGAATCTCATTTTACTCTTTGGTATTTTAAATATGCTCATTTTATGGCCAACTAATTTCTTATTCAGTTAAGAAAACTTCAATGTTTTTTTCTTTTTAAGCAGGAGTAACGTATATATAACTGTCATTATTTTGTTACCTATAATAATCAGATATTTCGTTGCGTATAAACTCGTCCTGTACGATGCAATGGGAAACAAAAACTGAGTTGAGAATGATAATAAGGAAATATTTTCTAGTTTGAACTGAGTTGAATATAAAATAGTCATCGTTAAGTTGGAGAAAGTCCGAACATATACACTCTGCACACACAGAAAAAAAGGGGGGGGCAATTCTATATCTCATGTTCTAGACTGGGCCGAATGATGAAATTTAATTTGCGTTTTTCGTGTCTCGAAAGCGCGACTTAGGATATATATTATATTTTTATATAGCTTTGTTCTAACATAGGTATTTTGACTTTGGACTTCTGAAATGACATACCGGTTTTTTCCCATATTTCAATTCTACGACACAAATTATTTCTAAATACGTAATATATTTTGTAATGTTTGAAGAGAAAGTTAGAGAAATTTCAAAATTTTCTCGGCGAACTTTTTTTCAGTTTGATCAAAGAATTTAACTTGTAAAAAGCAAAGCACTTGGCAAAATTCTTAATTTAAAGTAACCTATTTACCTTTCCCTTTCATTGCGCATGAACGGGGAAAAATGGCGCATCGTTTATTCTTTCAAGTAATTTTAAGATAGTGTGTAAACCACATTTCGCGTTATTATCGCTCATAAAAATATGCCAAATTTTAAAATGCTCCGATATATAAATTCAGATGCATCTTCAGATATTTTGAATAAAAAACTGTAATTATTTGAAGGTATGCCTAGAAATACACCCACTTTAAGGTGAAGGTAAAAATTTTATGGGTTACCTAATTCAAAGTTATTTTACAAAAAATTTAAAAATTACTGAAAAAATACAAATTTTAAAAATGAATCAGAAAATATCTGCAAACTTTAATTGGATTGAACCTAAATTTCGAACTGGGAAAGATGGAATCAAGTAACTATAATAAAAAAGGAGATATTAATAAATATATAACAAATTCAATTGACATTGAGGAGCTACAATTTTGAGAGCTAATTTTTTAAAAACTACTCGTGCGATTTTTACTAAACTTGGTACTTTGGCAATTACCTGAGTCGTAGAATCAAGATATAGAAAAAATTCGGTATGCCATTTCAGAAAAAGTCTGATTTTGTGTTAAATACCTATGTTAGAACAGCGCTATATATGCAGCTAATTATGTCCTAAGTCATACGCTGTCCAGACATTAAAAACGCAATTTAAATAAAACAACAAACGTTAAATTTCGTCAATAGTAGAATGGGAGATACAGAACTGTCCCATTTTTGTTTGTGCATAATGTACATCATCGAAAAAAAAAATAATAATAATAAATAAATAAAAAAGAAAAGAAATACTCAGCATTTTAAATTACAACTTAAAACTGTTAATAAAGCTAATCAATATGAAAAATTTCTGAAATATATATACAGTATTAAAGTTTTCTAAGGCTTCCGTTAGATATTAATATTTCCCTCTATGATAAATAATTACTAAACTAATACTTACTTTTCAAATTGGTTTGGTCTAAATAAGCATCATAATAAGTTATATCATAAAATGCATTTTGTACCTATATTTTTATGACTTACTATGATGCGAAATACCCTACACATTGTAAGTTCAAAATGTATAAACTCTAATCATGATTAATCACGATACCACAATAAATAAATTATAAATGACAATAATATATTAATTAAAATGATAAGATAACATTCACTAAGCATAAATAAGAGACGAATAAAGAGTAAATAAAACAAATATAAACAATACAAATATTACAGAGAAACTTGTATATTCAGATGCGGGATAATCAGGCTTTAATGTTTTATCTTTCTCTTAAACACTTGTAATTAATTACCTTTTCTTCCCCCAATGTCTAATTCCTTGCGATTCCATTTGGCCCGCATGCCTACTTGATTAACAATGCCACAATTATCCTCCGTAAAATCGCAAGAAAAGATTTTCGTATCATCATCTGCAAAAATGAGATTTAAAAAAAAAAAAAAAACTATTTCAGGAATTATTTTCAAAGTGATATGTACTTCAAATTAATTTCTTTAAAAAAAGTGTAATATAATTAGATGAAAATAGCAAAAAGGAATTCATACAATGTAAAGAGTAGTGTTAACTGTAATAGAATAGATCTTAGATTCATAAAATGTTATTTCAGAGAAGAAAGGACAGAAGTTCATTGCAGAGAATGTGAAAATATTGAATTTAAGTTTATTATATATATCTATGCTGTTTGGTGAAATATTTGATTTATTCTTCTCCCCACAACAAAAAGATATATATTCCCAAACTTAATCATGATTAATCAGGTAATCTACATCAATGTAATAAATCTATTATAATTTACATACATCGCGAAATAATAAGTTTTAATGAAACAAAAAATAATGTATTTTATTTAATAATGCAACCCAGAGCGAATTTTGTTGAATCTAATCAAAATAATCATGTTTGCTTACAACATAATCACAATCGGGTACAGATGCTGTTGACATCAACTTACATATTCAAGCAGGTGGCTCAATAAGACAAGTTTTGTCATGATAAAGTGTGTCTGAGAAATATGGAGTTGGTCCTCTCTTCCTAGCGCTAGTTTTGTGATGATAAAGTGTGTCTGAGAAATATGGAATTTGTCCTCTCTTCCTAGCGCTTAAATTCAATAATCCTAAGCATAAACCAAAATTTTAAAATAATTTTGAAGACAAAATTCGAATGGTACCAAGTCTGGGTTCATAGAGATCCCCCCAGCTTTCGCTGAGTGACCTAATGACGATGAAAACTCATAATGTCTGAAGTATGGGATCATTTCCATTATTTCTTTACTGTAATGATACCGCAGTAATTCTTATGTGTATAATTTGCGTGTGCTTACACCTTTCAAAATTCCTAAAAGCTTAATTTCAGTATTTTTTGCTTTTTTTTTTTTTTTTTTTTTTTTAAATTCGGTGCGAAATAATTTACATGATTTGGAGTTTAAGCTTCATTTCTAAATCAGTGTCATATAATACACAAGGTCTTTCCCAAAATAATAAAAATCATATTTTAAATGCATTAACGATAGAAAGAGTCCAGCATTACATAGCTCAACTGCTTTTACGCTTCGCTGTACAATACATAACATTGTTGTTGGTTTTACCATCACGCCAGTAAAGAAGCACATGTTCCCACAATATCACGAAAGGGAAATGCCGATGACAGTGCATTAGCATATGCTAAGTATTGCTGGCAAATTCCACAAGCGCATATTTTAAAATTCAATTTCATGCAAAAAATATCACGACTTGTTTATCGAAGAAAGTCTCCGCCAGGCTACGCCACTGTTCAGAGCTTATTACAATTTGAAATTTTTTATTTCCCTGATGCAAAGCGGATTGAAGCATTCATTCAAATAAATAACAGTAATAGCTGTATTTAAACAAGGACGTAACCATCGTGAATCCATATCTCAAAATTGATGAATTCATTATATAAATCTATAAACATTGTTGAATAATAGAACCTAAGCAAATGAATATATAGCATTATTGAACAACCACTAAAATAACTATGGAGCTATTCAAAACAATTATCGACTTGGAAGCGATTTAAAAGTAATAGGCTTTATCTCGTTTTACAACGAACTTTTATCGGCCATGTTAAACAACAAATCTTCATTAAAATATCGATTAATTATTTACTTACATGAATAAGTCGACGCTATCACACCTGTAAGAAACCATAATACGTTAATCTTCATCCTGAACATAAAAACGTTTTGCTATTTTCAGTTGAATAAAGCCTAGAATTTCTCAGCTGCACCTTGGAAATTTTATTTCTGGTGAATTATCTTCGAAGTTTCTATTGATAAGAATATTGAGATGATGTCAAGTTAAAAGGTACCTGATATGAGAGAATTGTATAGTACCAAAAAAAAAAAAAAAAAAAAAAAAATTACTTGCACAATAAATTAAATTTTTAATTTTGTTAATAAAATTTTGCATAATAATGTGATAATAATATTTATACTATATTTCATCAACAGAAATGTTAGAATTAAAAACAACCAGTGACACTAATCAACAAAGAAGAATTTTATGAACATCATTTTTTAATACTTGATTCTCCATGTATATATAAGATTAGATCAAATGCGCTGTCGTATTTGTGTGAAGAGATTATAATGCAGATGTTTTTAAATAAGTAAAATGAAAATAAACAGTAAATAAAAAAAATTGTGTAAAAACTTTATATTTCAGTCCGAAAATAATTTACTAATTAAACACATTTACAAATTTTTAAATGTAAAAATACAAAAAATAATTAGCTTCCGTTTTTAAATAAAAATATTGCATAAAGTTTTCAGTTCATATAATTAAATCTTTAGCGCTGAATGTAAATAAAATTCAGCGCCGCCCAACCGGTACAGTGGTTGGCGTTGCTGACTGCCGTGCCGAAGAGCCCGGGTTCGAATCACGGAGAAGGCACGCATTATTGTGTCCGTGTGGCATGGGGGCACTCCAAATATGCGGCAAGTCGAAACTCCTCTCGAGAGGTCGATGGTAGTGGAAGGGGTGTGGGAGCCTCTGGGACCCGTCTTTCCCCCGGGGTGCTCTCCATCAAAATTGGGGGCGGAACTGAGCTAAATCGCACTGTCGTCTGTAATGTGCTCAAGGCTGTTGCCAACGACAAACGTAAACTTGCACTCCTTGCCGCGAGGATTTTCGTGGGATTGGGCTGACTTTATAGCTCAGACAAGTGAGCAGCAGCAACAACAATTAAAATTCACAGACAATTTCAATTTTAAAAACTCCCGCATTTTTATCTCATTTTCTTTTTTAATGTAAAATAATATAACCAGAAAATATACGTAAAGTAATACAGTAAGAAAAATATTAAAAAATATATTTGAAAAAGATTTAATAAAAGAAATGTATGTAAAGTCTTTTGTATTAGATATTATTTTGCGTGCAGATTATACTTTTCACACAAAACAGAAAGCACGTAATACATAAATTTTAAAGGGCTTGAAATGTAATTTATAAATTCACTCAGGATCTGTAGCAAAAGTCATTGCAAAACATTGTAAAGAAATCCAGATGCCATGACTTCTTAAACCTCCATTGTTTTATCGCCGATAAGCAATGCATTTTTATAATATCTGAGGTAAATGAAAGATGTTATGCATCATTGATCTGCAATAATAACCTCTCATGTTTCTGATATTTATTTTTAACCCATAATATTTTGTCTGTAACTAATTGATTTGTATATACAAGATTTTATTCGTAGAATTTTATTCATTAAAATAAGTAATCCGTAGCTTAACGATGTTTTATCAAAATAAAACACTAAAATGCTAGAGTTTTCCCATTCTGGAGGCAAAAAAGTGACTTTTGGTTCATTTTTGAGAAGTTATAAGTGATGATCTGTCTTTTGCTCTTTCGTTTATCTCAGGGGTTCTCAACCGGTGGTACGCGCACCACTGGTGGTACGCAAGAGAAAAATAGGTGGTATGCAAAGAAGCGAAGTATTTTTAACTATTAAATCCAAAAATTAAATTTAACATCCTGATTGAGTTTTATCTCTAACAATCGTATATTTATGCGATCTGAGCTTTATTGAAGAGTGGGGGTGGTAGTAGTACTTTGTAGTGGTGATACTAAAGGTTTTCAGTTTTTGTTCAGATGGTACACGTTAGTCAAAAGGTTAAGAACCGCTGGTCTATCTTATGAAAAGAGAAAGTAGTAACACACAGATGAAATATTAGACAAGTAAGTTAAAGGAAATAATAAAATCGCCTTATTTGTTTCGATATTGTAAAGTTTGTGAGATTTTGTAATTTCCTGGATCAGAATTGATCCATTTTTAACACTAGAAGGCGTTTTGCTTTTTATAGATCAGAATCACAATGGTATAATGCAGAAATGTTTAGTCTTTTGGTCTGCTGTAGCTGTTAACTGAATATTTAACTTCGCACAAACCTATATATTTAACTATTATTATTATTATTATTATATATTCACCTAAAAACTAAAATTCGCGCTTAATATTATTTTCTCCCTCCTTTCCGCGGGCCTTCGTGATGTAACGGTAGCATATTTTGGTGCGTATTCGAAAGCTCCTGGTTTGACTCTCGGGAGGGCATTGCTCATTTTTCGTGTCTCCTACTTCGAAAATCCTAATGACTCTACATATTTACCTCAAACTTGATCAAGATATGATTTTATTAGTTAAGTTATACGTAAATCATCTTAAAAATAATCACGTCTTTTTTTTTTTTTTTTTTTTGTTCAGATTTTATTATTTTCCTCTCAAAGTCTGATTTACTCAATTATTGGATGAACACGGAATCAAAATTTTAAAACGCGCATATTTTTAGTTGAAAACTTCTCTACAAGTCTCATCGGGTTTCGCGGTATAACAGTACTTCGCGGCTTATCGATTGAAACAACACTAGTATGATTTTGTGCTCGAGTAAATTGTTGTATAGTTTCCTTCTTCGTATGATCGCATTTTCTCTGCCAGATGAAGCGTTCTTAGTAAAGCAACACGTAACAGAGCAGATGAATCAGCTACCATAGCACTACGGCAATCCACAGTAATAAAGAGACAAGAAACAAAATGAGTCCTACCTTTTTCATAATCATTAACAGTGTAGTTCTTAAGTTTAGGAAAATGGAAAGATTAGAAGAATTGGAAGCCATTAGCCTGAAAGATTGAAACAGTAGAATAGGTTATAGTATATCGAGGCTTAGAACCTACTACCAACATAACAACAACGAAAGCACAGATACGTGCATGTGTTCCAACACAACTAAATTATATCATGTATGTGTTTTACATTGTCTTAGAATGAATGTGAAATTTTAAATCATGAAAACGAAAAAGAAACTTAAAAAGAGTCAAAGATACTTTCCAGAATACCAAATGAAAATAGTTGGCTTTTGAATGCGCTATGGATGCTCGTGTGAACATGCATAATTATCGAATGTAAGGATGAAGAATTTTCTCATGTTTCTACTGAAACTCCTGTCTTTAAGTCGTACAATTGAAGTTGGTAATGTCATCGGAAACAGTAAACGGTTCACTTCTCCTCTTAAAAGATCTGCTGTTATTAATCAAATTGAATTTAAAGTCGCAAAGGCTTACAAAGTTTTTTTTATCTGGCAGGGCTATTTTCATAATTTATTCTAAATTTTTCCATAATTGTTCAACCATTAACTGGTATCCTTAAGAAAGGTAATGACTTCCACTTTGGTGATAATGAGAGAAAAGCTTTCAATCTTTTAAAAACACATTTATGTGAAAAACTCGTACTTAGCATTTATAATCAGAGCAGCAATACTGAAATACACACTGATGCCAGTATCCACGGTTATGGTTATCATGATGCAATGGCAATGCAATGGCAATATGGACCTGGTCTTAAACCCAAATTTCTCGTAGCGTACGAGATCATGAAAATCAAGCCAAATGACATTTATGGTGTTGAAAAATTTGGCTTCTTCGATGGACTTATGAAAACGAGCATTTGTTCCGAGTTTATGAAACCCTGGACTGGTTCATCAGAACATATTACCTGAACTAAATGTTTTATAGACATTTTTTTTCATATGAATTAATCAACACCTTTGGACTTTATCAAACTTTTATATGATAATGATTACTAACTTCTTTTTTCAAAGTGCTGTTATTAAAAGGTCCTGATTCAGCATTACTTTCTTTTCTCTGCATCACTTTAGTATTTTCTTTTGTTGTTTAATAGTACTAGTATTTTCAGTTTTAATATATTTTATGTTTTAAACTTCATTGTTTTCTTTTGTCATCTTAGAACAGATAACGATGTAGAATGACAGAATTATGTAGGAAATAGCCATGTAACTGTAACTGTGACTGAATGATGTAACTATAAGGCGCCGCCTTGATGAGTGCAACCATATAAGTACTAAAAGCGACGTAAGAGCGACAATGATGAATGCAGACGTATTATGCGAAGATAATTCTTCTTTTCTTATCGCTTTTAATTCATTATTAAAAGGGATAAGAAATTTCTTTGCAGATAAATCCTAGTTTATTAATGAATCCATGAATATTGGTGATGTTTTTCTTACGCATGATATTCGAAGAGAGTTATGAAAATGTGCATAAAATGCTTCGTAGCATTACCATACATTAAGAGTTTTTGAATTGAAAGATAGTGGTAACTTTAGACTGAAGAAAAGCAAGGAAAACATTGGTTATATTCATAATAATGAAGTGGCGAATCTGGGCAATCTTTCTGCTGATTGAAAATGAAAGTTCTGAAATTTAAAAAAATCATTGGAAGAATCATCTTTTAAATTTTTTGTGTACTTAAACTTGTAACACATGGAGAATGCCATGCGAAAAGACTTACGCTTGGAAGTAAAGGATAAAATGTAAAAAGATTTAATGTTCTTAGTAAAACAAATTGCAGCCAGATTTTATCTTTTACTCAGGCACACCTCTGATCTCTTTCTGGAAAATATTAGTGTCCTGCAAAAACGACTTCTAAGATTCGGCCTTCAATTTATGGTTATTTTAAAAGCTTTTAAATGTCATCACAGGAAAGATGTTCAGAAAACGATAAACAGAACTGAATTTTTTGAAAATGTGGCTCTTCGAATGCGATAAACAAGTCGATATATGTATCTGCTAGAGACCATGCATATGATAACCAGTACATGGGATTAATGTCTTAAAATCAGTCAAAACCTGTTTTAGAAAACGAGGCTTTTATGCCTCGAAGAAGAAGCGTCAGAGGAATTGCATACTATATCTAATTTTCAAACATTATTGAGGAAAGTTATGGAGCTCCATTTTTAGAATATGAGTCAGTT